TACCCTTGTGCACGGCTGATGGAGTTGTTGCCTAAAGGTGTGGTATTAGGACAGTGACGACCATTAGGTGGAGGAGGAGCAGAGAAAGGAAGAGGCCAGAGTTGTTGGTTCTGGGTAGGATTTAGCTGCCGAAATCCGGCTTCCACAAGATTCCATGCTAATCGTTCTCTAAACTTAGAGTGTGAGTGCCAATGTGATTCCTGTTTCTCCCTGATACTTTGTCTTGCAATCAGAAAGGTATTAATGACTGTTGTGTCCAAAAGCCAGAAAAAAAGAGGCATCCAGGCCCTAACAACCCGGAGTTGTGTGGAATAGTAACTTCTTCTCTGATCTGCAATGTCGACACCGCCCATATGTAGATTATAGTCAATAGTGACAGTAGGTAGCGCAAGCTCCCTCACAGGTAACTCTCCCCATACCCGATCAATCATATTACGGTAAGGATTTCACTGTTGTGGGCGACGAGGATGGCGACGAGCACGTACTGTGTAGTTTTGCGGTTCAGGACGCATGTCATATGCGGTAGTAAGTAATCGAACTAAGGTTTTATCCTGCCAGATGATGGCTAAAACCTCTCGATTCTCAGGTATCACTCCTACTACTGTGCCCTATGGGAGTAGGGTTTTCCTCTTATCTAATTTTAGTACCCTAGGATATTCCACTGAATTAGGTCGTACAGTCCCACATGCAGCAATTTGATGATTTCGAAGAGCTTGGAAGAGAGGAATGTTGCTAAAATAATTATCGCAGAAGAGGAGAAAATGGCGTTGTTGGTAGGGTAGTTGCGTAGCTAGGTGGAAAACAGCACGAGAGGTGGCACTTAAATGGAGATAATCATTAGCAGGGTAGAATAGGTCGTGTCCAGAAAATTGATCTGCTCGTGATGTATATAGAAAGGCAAAAGTATAGCCATGTTCACAAAGGGCTAGGACCTTATAGCCTTCAGGAATTGGTTTATTGGGCATTCGAATAGTGTGTACTGAGCACCCAACAAAGCGGATCATCATCTCATCTATGGCAATTTCCGTAGCAGGTGTGCAGTACTGCCTATATCGATCTTGCAGATGAGATGAAAGCGGCTCTAGCTTCTCATACCATCGATTTCGTGGGAGGTTCTGGACTGGGGCTGCGATATGAAAGTACTGCTTTAATTGTTGGAACCGGACTTGCGACATATACTGTGATATCCTATTATACACTTAACTAATGTATTAAAAGCATAACAGAAACATTCTAAGTTTTCAATACAACTATCATCGGACATGCACATCAAATCTGGATATAGATTATGTACTAGGAGTTGTGGGTAAGTCTGTTGAACCTCTCCTCATTGACTCCACTGGCAGGCCCTCAGAGTCACTCAGAGAACTGATCCTGCTCGAGCTGCAGTGCAAAGAGTTCAACAGACTCTTTTCCTTTACCAAATTTTAAGAAAATCCACCAATTAAGTGTTCTTGAGAGCTTCCATTCACATACAAACTTGGCCTATGAGAGCAAAGTTTCGACAGACTTTGGCTCACACCCTAGTACAAAGAGCAGGAATGCATACTTGTGAAGTGGTGAAAGCCCATCCTTTTGCCAATAGTCCACTACTGTGCTGGACCGGTAAACCCCCATATAGATAATAAGGCCGATAAAAATCATCATCTCAGCGCCTTTCACATTGTACCACCTCCTGCTACCTTCCCTTCCCGCTCCTTGACTATCTGCATATCGATTGGTATTGTGTGCCAACTGGTCGAACTGCTCACATCCAAAAAAGAGCATGAAAAACTGCAAGGGCTCGGGGCTTGGGGTGGTAGGATTCGGACTATGTATTGGATCATATGGACGAGTAAGCTGTACTGGTAGATGTAGCATACGATTGTGCCGGGGTTGAGGGTGCTCGTATGGTAGAAATTCTGGTACAGGAGGCAGGTTTAATGGGAGTTGAGGTTCACGATCATCCTCATCTCTTTCTTCCTCATGGTCGGCCCGGTCCTCGTTTTCCACAATCTCCGCCACCTCCCATTCACCTAACTCTCGTCCCCTTGCCAGAAACTCCATCTCCCCCTCACTGCTGGCATAACCATCCTCACCATCATTGACAGGCATCTTGATTTGAAGTAGTTAACCGCTTGAGAGAAGTAGGAAATTTTTGGTATGTAGTAATTCAGGCTTTTGATCGTACCCTATGAGCATTTACATCATCGTTGTCATGGTTGTCATTAACTTTCCTCTTTACAGTTAAACCACAGGTGGTTGCCTCCTTTCTCAACTAGTGCGCTCTTAGTGTCCGTGCTTGAAAACACTTTAAGGGATAATCCTGCTGTGACCCAAAGCGGCCAGTCCGGACCATGACTCAGCAGTGCGGCAGAAATAGTCAGCAGCCGGGTCGAATCTCGCGGAAACCCCAAGCCGAAGCCGCCAGACGGCCGGGCAATCCGAAGGTATCTGTCAACGCTCCTGGTCATTTCACTTTAAATCACTCGGAATAGGAGAACAAGAGCATGAAATTGGAAGTCAACCCTCATAGTACCCCGAACTACCATCAGAACAGAACAGTAGCAAGAGCCAATATATACAAATTTCCCAGTCCAGCGCAGCCATCATTCCATACCCGTCTTCATCCAAAAGACCACTCATTCCTGGCCCAAGAATGAAACCCAAGCCACTCATTCCAAATACCGCATTTCAAACAGAGCAACATGCTCTCGGCGCTGCATATAATTTCGTTCTCAAGACAAATCTGTACCATCTACAGATCAACCACCACGATACCAACCCTCTAACTACCCCCCCCGGGCGAATATATATATATATATTAACCGAACGGCAATTAGTCTCCGTGAATAATAAATTCTTTCTCAGTAATGAAACATAAGCCCGCAGATGGCCCATGCCGGCGAGCAGCCTTGGTTTTTTGAAAAGCCGCTTTTCCCAACATTCCGACCGTACTCAGACCCAGACCGACTGCCCGGCTCATCGTGGAAAGGTAAAGGATTCAATAGTCCTTCCATTAGGGGTGGAAATCCGAAGCTGAGACCCCCCCCCCACACGAAATCCCAAATACTCCCCACCCGAGCCCCGAGAAGCTCGCCGATGCTACTCGTCTTGATAAGGGATAACAGTGGAGGACCGACTGGGCAGCGGTTGAGGGAAGACCGAGTGAATATGTGGGGCCCGGGGGACGGTAGTAGTACGTGATCAAGAATGGGAGGTAAGGTGAAAAGGTCTCTTCTCTAAACTAACGGTAAGACAGCTGTAGTGTATAAGTAAAACATAAGCAATGTATCCTGACCATTCCATGGATCACCACACCTATCACTGACCCTCCATGCGTGCCGCCTTTTCCCCTAATCACTCCAGTAATAGCAAAGGAAAGACAAGTATATAGAATCCACTCTGTCAATCTCAATCTCTGAACCCCCACACTGATCTATTGAACCCGTACTCCGCCAAACTCCCCACAACTTTCACAATCTATCAACATCCATCTATGATACAGTAGAACCTTCAACGAGCACTGTACATGCATAAAAAAACGCAAACGAGAGATCGAATCTAGTGCTTGAGAACCTTTAACGCACAGCCTTGCAAATAACTTCCAGACCAAAGGTTCACTAACATAGAACAGCTCACATCCCTAGACTCCCAACCCCACTCAAGTTGAGCCCTCCAGCACCTGTACCAATCCAGGCATCATTTTTTTTTCATCGTTTTGTCCATGACCTCGCCCACGACCGCAGTCGAAGAATATAATCTACCATGTATCTATCATACACCAGTAACCGCAGGAGCCCTTCCTACCGACGCGCAAAACTTCCAGCGTTGGGAGCCAGCTCCAAGCGCAGCAGTGGAAAGAAAGAAATAATTCAAAGATATCACAGATGATAGACGTGACGCCAAACCCAACCATATTTCCAGAACCCGGGAGGCATTCAGCGTCAGCACCGGCACGGAAACACCCCGGCCCAGCTCCGCGACTCCCGAGAAATGCGGATCACTACAGTATGATACAGGGGAGTGTTCCGCTACGCAATCCCGCCACACCATGATAAATACCGATACCATCCAGCGCTGCCGGTATGTGGAGGTTAGTGAGCACTGTACACGAGTACGGGTGGCTGAAAACATATATATATACGGCGCACGGCGCGGGTTCGCGGGAATGTACTGTCTCCGTACAGTACTGCCCGACCGGCGTTACCGTTGCAGAACGGTAGATGGAAAGAGATATCTATCTATATATACTAGCGCAGGTAGGTATATGAACAGGATGGAAACAAAAAACCGGTATCATAAATTGAAGGCGACAGAAACTACTCTTCACGCCGGGAATGATATCGTACGGAAAACGGTGGGGGGGGGGAGGCAAGTTATTACCATTATTATCATTATTATGATATTATTATTGTTAACTGCAAGGAGTGAACCAGCTATTCAAACTTTATCCACCTACACAATTATTTAAAGAAAAGAAACTCGAATCAAGCGTATCATATAGTAATTATCATACCGGCACGGTACAAGTATCATACGGTAGCTGAACCAGCCACTCCCACCGAAACCACTTGCACCCCACAGGTTGCAGCGAGTGAAATCGAGTGACGCTACATGACTAGACAACAACAATTCGCTCATGGTATGAACGACTGGACGGGCACTGTGTAAGTGATTGGAAACTTCCCCAACTCTCTCGAAAAGGGGTGGCAGGAGTAGTCCCCTCCCTTCGAAGGGGTATGTATAAAAAAGAAAAGCAACAAAACGTTGCCGACGACATGTATCAATCACTCCACTTGGTCCATTCTAACGGTACGGCAGCGCTGTTTTTGTCCGTGTCTCATCTCACGAGGCCTGCGACAGGCAGGGGGTTGTGTGGCGGAAGCGGAAAAAGGGGGAGGATGGTTACTAGTACTACTGTTTTTTTTACTGTGCTGCGCAGAATTTCTTCTTCTTCAAGCATGGTATGATATGGCAAAGTTTCTGGGAGAGCAACGATTGATTCTCTCTCGTACAAATAAATAAGTAATTCCATCCATTCAATTTCCATGACGAGCAATATGTATAAAAGTGAAGCAAAAAAGAGATGTCTCATCCCGATCAAGGGAGAGGTAAAAGGGAAGAATATGGGGCGAGGGGAGGGAGGGCGAGAGGGGGATAAAGACAAAACAAGGTATCAAAAAAAGGGGGTTGTGATCATACATAATTAAAACTACAAAATCTTTTTCTCCAGATCTTTAGACGCTATGAAAGGGTAAAACCAAAAAAAAAGCAAGCAAAACAAAAACAAAAACAACAATATCTGACCGACTATACGAGCAACCATGCAGTAAGGAATACTCCCACAAAGGTGGTGATGGAGAAGGTGACCCTTGAACCAGCACCTGTGAAGACGGGAGTTCCCGTAGGCGCGGTCGAGTTAACGGGAGGTGTGATAGTGCCTGAGGGAATAAGTGTAACTGGGGCAGAAGGGTTAGGGGTGCCAGTGACAGCGGGGCCTCCAGCAGTAGTGGTAGCGTTGCCGCCGCTCTTTGCCTTATTGACGAATTCTTCGAACTTTGCGCCCGGGTTGATGGCGAAGACCATACCGGCCTTGCAGTGCGTTCCCTGCGCGCAATAGAACCACTTGGGCTTGTCATCGGAGACGGTAACGTTGAAGGTCTCCTTCCCGGGAATGTTCTGCGGGTTGGGCCTGAAACCGGACCTGACGCCGTTGGGGTTGAGAACGCATGGGTTGTCGAAGGTGGATTGGGTGACGGTATGATTCCTCTCGAGGAAATCAAAGTAAACCACGTCTCCGACGTTGGCGATGACATTCTCGGGCGTGTACTTAAGGAGGTTGGGGCCTCCGACTTTGACGGTGTGGGTCTTGGGAGGCCCAGCGGGAACGGAAGTCTGAGCTGGGGGAACGGAGGTATATGTCATTGGTGGTTGGGACTTGGAGGGAACGGCCACCGGCTGGCTGGTCGTTTGGACGGGCACCGATTGCGCGGACTTTGATGTAGATGTGGTGCATGGCGGTGGTGTAGTAGTATACACAACGCCATTTGAAGTCAAAGTGCTCGCTGGCGGGGCGACGGCAGTCTTGCTCTCGGCACCGGCAGCAGAACTCGGGGCCGCCCCACCCGCTGGTGGAGTAGCGACAAAGTGGATACCAGCGACGGCCCTCTTGAGATTGTTTACTTCCCTCCAACTCGACACATTAAATCCTCCCCTATTAGACTCGCCCGGAACACCCTGGACGGAGAATCCATCCGGCTGAACATACAACAGGAAGATATATCTGTGTGGACCTGAACCGGTGGAAGCGTCGGGACCGACATACTTGAGCGTCGGATTGGACTGGGATGCAAGGTTCGTGAGCTCGAACACCGTGAAGTCGGTCTTCAAGTAGTGCAGGACCTGGGGCGCAACCGCATCATCACGGTTCGGAGAATCGGGATCTATCATCAGAATGCAGTACTTTGTCTTTGGACTGATACCGGAGGATCCTCCCAATGCGAACTTTGGTAGCGCAGCAGCATCTATGGAGCCGTTGTCAGACTACTACCCACCCACCCAAACGAGAAAACAGTTTCAACTCACCAGCAGGAGTAAGAACATCCCCATCCTTCAATTCCTTCGACCCAAACGTCACCTCCAACTGAATAGACTTGGGATCGAATCCCGCGGAAAAGGCGTCGGGAATCTGCGCGAGCACCGATCCGGAAAACAGCACTGCTGCCACCGCAGCAATAAAGCCCGTGCGTTTCCCAAACATTGTTGAAAAAGTATAATATAAGCCCGCTCTCTTTCAGAGACTGAACCGGAGAAAAAAAGACAATGATAGTAGTAAAAAAAAATGTAATAAAAACTACGTCTTCAAGACTAGCAACAGAAGAGAAGGTGAATATAAAATGAAAAGGAAAAGGAGAAACGAAAGAAGAAAGAAGAAAGAAAAGAAGAAGAAAAGCAGCGAAAGGAAATACTTAAATCTTGCCACAAAATTGGAAAGGAGGGATAAATAGAAGAGGGGAAAGACTTTTCATGCGGTTCTACCGACCTCTCTATATACCCCCTTCACCCTTCACCCCCACCACCCCTGGAGAGAAGTGCGGCAGACACAAATACCGCAAAAACAGAAAAAGCGGGAAAGGAAAAGAAAAGAAAAGAGAGAAAGATGTTTGAAACTTCCCATCACAAAACCATAGAGCAACAGTATATCATACATCGCTTTCCTCTTTCCCCCTAGCTTTTTTCCTCTTCTTCATCTCAAAATAACCTCTAACGCTACCAGTTTGAACCCCCGGGGCGCTTAGTCCCGAAAGCAGCGATGGAGTCGACGTTCCTGAGCTCGGCTATGCAGGTGCACGTTTTAAGATTCGCCCAATGGAAGGGGCGAGGGGAGAAGGGTTGGTTTTTGTTTCTTGGCACATCTTGGCTGGTATGGATGCTAAGGTTCTGGTTGGTGGGCCAACCATTGTCATACCCGCCGTAGGTAGGAGGAGGAGGAAACTCGATTTTAACACCCCCCCCCACCCCTTTTTTAGATGGAAGGGCAGATCTAGATTACTTTTCTAGATTTTTTTTTTGAGATGAGATGACGATGATGTTACTTGTATTGTAGCTACAACTTTCACAAAGTGGGTGAAGTGGGTGGGAAGGCGATATCAAACGGTGTCAAGTTTAAGGTTTATCTATATATGGTAACTCGAGCAGCTACGCTCAGCTAGCTAGATAGCGTATCGTACCTAACCCGGTAAGTTGAAGAGAAAGAGAAGAGAAAAGCTCTAGTCCAAGGAAGAATCATAACTGAACACTAACGTTACTATTACAGTATAACCCAGTTTACCCCAGCGCTTGCCCCTCAGGTACCAGCGCATAGGGTACGATAACCCCCCCCCCATTCCAGCACCGCCATGTTTCTCTTACGATACCCGGAAAGGGCGTTCCCATCATACTACCGTATCCTATCATAATCCAAACTTTATAATCCAAACCGCCCATATCTAGCTACGGTACGGTACCGTGTGCGCCACAGCGCACTACTATTGTGCGTGGACAAAATTAACCGCGATTCAACAGAGGAAAATCTTCGGCGATGACAACCACACTCACCCACCAATCCACTATCATGAAAACCAAAAAAAAAAATTAAAAGATGTAAATACATAGTAGAAATTAATATTTGGTATACCATCCATCAGCCTTAATAATTGCCTCTATTCTATCCACCATTGATCCAGCTAAAGTATCAAAAATCTTTGGGTCAAGAAGTTCTCAACAATGAGTGGTGGCCTCTACTATTGCGTTCTTGACCACATTGACATCACCCTTCATAAGATATAGCTCAGGGTAGTGCTTGTGAAGCCTACCTTTCACCAGAGACCAAATATTTTCAATTGGATTGAGATCTGGTGAATGGGCAGGAATTTCCATCAGTGTAATTCTCTGCTCTCTGAGCCATCTCCTAAAAGGCAAGTCAGTATTAGCATTGTCAATAATAAAAAATACCTCTTCTTCTCCAGCCTTTTCTCTGATATTCTCCCATATCCCTAGAAAGTCATAATAATTATAAATATCAATAATTGACTTCCCAGTAACTCCACTCCTAGCAGAAGAAGGATCAGGAAAAACAGGTAAAAAAAGACCATGAGTTTGACTATAAAAACAACCAGTCATCATCTGGCTAATCCCTCTCTCCCCTCTCCTAGCCTTAGATTCAATACAATCCTTATTCTATTTCTCATATGGGTATCTGAAAACCAATTTTCTCCTCTTTCCTCCTCCTCTTTCTACAGCTACCTCATCCTCCCACATTGCCTTTCTTCTCTACATCTCCTTTGTCTAATGCCTATGAGCTAATACCCATTCCAACCTCTCTTGAGTTAGATCCTCATCCAAATAAACTCTCTCTTGTACCATCCACTTTCTAAGATGCTTTTTTTCAAGTTTCTTCTTACTATCCTACTAGAAACATTGGAAGCAACTTGCTCAGCAATATCAGAATAGGTAGTATGATGACTTTTAAGAGCTTCCTCCATCATAGTATCATCCTGTGACTTGGTAGTTTTAGGATGTCTTCCTCTATTCTTATTCTCCTTGCCCTCTTGATATCCCTTTGCAATTGTGTCTCTGACAGTAGTTTAGGGGATATTAACATAGTGGGATATTTGCTGATATCTTATCTGAGTCACATGTAACCTGAGAATCCTTCCTGTGATAAACTCAGAAAGTTGTTTGGAGGGAATAGGTTTTTTGACATGACTGCGAAGAATAGGAGACATAGTTTATTGAAAAAAAAAGAATTAAGCAGAATGGTTTCTTCTGGGTTGACTTAAAGCAATTTTTTTAGGTACTGTTAAGAGTGCAGGGTGATGAAGAGGGGTGAGTTGCCACCGATTGTTGAATCGTGGTTAATTTTGTCAATGCAAAATACTCACTCATAGTAAGCTGTAATAACATACTGTACTCGAATATATATGATAACCATTCACTCATATATAAATACATGCATACACATACATACACATCTTTCCCTTTTTCAACTCACAGGATTAGGTGTTGCGCTTGCTGTTCAGGAGGATTACTCAATCAATACCCTTATCGCTAAGTTTATGATAACTACAAGTCTTTAATTTTACCTACAAAAAATACTCCTCTTTTTATTACTCGCGGCTGGGAACACAGTCTGCCATACAGGAAGACTTTGTTATAGCCATCTGGTCGACTTCCTGCTGTTGGTTTATGAGATACTGTCTTATGGGAGCATGCATACACTCACTAGTTTCAAATTGGGGGCTGCCCTTAGGCTCCATACACATTTAGCCTTTGTGTCTACCATGTTTGCCCCCTCTATGAGCTCCATGTTGGCCAGTTTTGGCCTTATCTTTGGGCACACCTCGAAGTCTTTAGACTTGTTTGGCCTGGGTGACTTTTTGCATCAGACTTTCCTCCTTCTACGCCCTTTGGTTAGACCTCTGGGAGGATGTGCCTGACCGTGAAAGTTGTGGGTGACTGGCTTGGCACTAAGAGATTTTTAGTTGCTGGAAGGCCATGGGTAATATGGTTGGCTGGCTAGACTTGGCGGAGTAGAGGTGGCTGGGATGCAACATCATACTCTCATCTCATGGTGGTGTGAGATCCATAGAAAATAAGTATTCAGTCGGGCCAGGACTATGTGTACATGCATCTGCCAAGTGTAGTGGAGCATTTGAGAAGGAGGGTAGAACCTGCAAGGTTGGGCTGGGCTGACAGGGTGGATTTCTTTTAAGGTAGAGGGGTTACGAGCTTGCATCGGGTGAGTTATGATGAAATTGTAGCAGGTGGCCCGCGAGGGAGATATCTTTAAGGGGGGCCTAGGGCTGGGGGCTATATCCCATGCCGTATTCCAATTACTTTAGTTAGTATGTGAAATTATAGTTGAATTAAAGATTTACACATATATACACACATACACAGAGCGAGAAAGCTTTTAGAAATTCTGGTACAGTTAGCAGGGCATTCCTACAACCACGTCAAGTTTATTTTAGTTTGTATACATATCATCTTTTTATACAGTACAAGCAGAATTTTCACTCAATGAACTAATCTATCCTGTAACTTGTACAGGTACTTGGTTATTGGTTTTGTCTTATATTTTGTTTGAAGTATTGCTTTGATACTTAGTTTTATTTTATGTTTTATTTTAAGTATCATTTAATACTTGGTTTTGTTTTATGTTTTGTTTTAAGTATCATTTAATACTTGGTTTTGTTTTATATTTTATTTTAAATATCATTTAATACTTGGTTTTGTTTTATGTTTTGTTTTATGTATCGTTTGATATATGGTTTTGTTTTATGTTTTGTTTTAAGTATCATTTAATACTTGCTTTATTTTAGGTTGTATTTTAAGTATGATTTTAATATTTAATTTGTTTTACCAAAATGTATCATTTGATATCTTTGAATAACTTCGTTCATGTTAGACATGAACATATTTGTGTATTTAAAAGATGGCCTAATTCTATGATGGAAACAGTAGACTTCAATAGACAGTATTTCAATATATTTGGTTGAACAGTTACTATTGGTTTTCTCAGTACACAATCAAAGCCTTTTTTAGTTCTCAGCTCTCGTCTTCTCTCTGATAAAGTAGGCCATCTGCTAACTATCATACCTATTATTCATAACATAAATAGTACTTTATCAACACATTATACACCCCCGTACTCACAATACCCCTCCCTCCGATAGTGTGGTCAATTATAGCCCTCTATTCTAAGACTTCATTCTCTCTGAGAGTTTAGGACACTTGCCATAAGATTATCCTACTTACTCATCATGACCTCCCAACCCTCGTCCCCAGCTTTGCTTCAACTCCCCTATCCCACCTCTCCACTTGAAAGACCTAGGAGTCCTACCAAGAGCCTAAGGGTCAACTCTCCTAGCCTTCTCCCATCAGGCTCCCCACAGGATGTAATCCTCAATGCAACCCTCCTCATGTTTGCTACTATCAGGCACCAAAGGAGATGCTCCAACCCCTTGATCACTGTCGGAAACAGAATTGTAGTCCAGAGAAGTACATTTCCCAAAGTTAGACGAGAACTGTGATAAATGGACACATGCTATGTCCTTCTTACAGGGAATACAATGGTCTCAACTATAGAAGCTCTTCAGCCAGAACTACTCAAATTCAGGACCACACTTCAAAAGATCTTCAGCAGCGAGATCATAGATGCAGCCGACACCGATACCCTAGCCTTCCTGGCAGCAGCAGCCTTATCCTACTATCCATCACAACAATGCCTGGTACCAGTATCCCAAATACTATAGGTCTCAGTCTCCTCCTCCCTACTAACCGACGTAGCCAATCCTATAG